TGACTGGTTTGGTACTTGTAACGATGTGTCTGATATTAAGCATGACATGTTTGATGTTACTGTTTCGCCGTTCAGGAGAGGAACATCAAACTCCCTAAATTTGGACTACGGTGTTTCGACGGAAACCCAGTTGATTATTTACGATTTGTAAGCAGTTTGAGATCATGTTGAGTGGTTTTTTATTAAGTGATGAAGTGAAGCTGACGTATTTGACGAGGTACTGCACTGGAGTGCTTCAAGAGCTATACAGTGCTGTAGGTTATCCCCCTAACGAAGGATACTCTGAGGCTATGAGTACACTGCGTCAATGATTTGGTAGGCCCTCGGGCTGTTTAATGGTGGATACAAACCAAGACTATGATTGATACTGTGTAAAGCTTGTTCGGGATAAACTTAGTGGTGTAGTGAGGTTTCGTGGGACGCCCTTCAGATAGTTGTCTAACTGCAAGACTAACATCACTGCTGTCTTTTACACGTTTGCAAGAGGTGCATACAAAGGTGAGCTGTGAATCAGTGAGCAAGTTTAGTTGTAAGCTAAATGTGAATCAGCGTCATCAAGCTCTGACTCCGAATGGTCTGACGATAACGGTGTGTCAAGAATTCTGTAGTTGCAACTGGTAAGATATTGTTGAATAGAGTGTCACAGAGGAGAGTTACAGTCTAAGAGGAGAGTTCTGACTCCGCAAGTTTACAAGGTATTAGTAGTCAGAGTTTCTTTTCCTTCACGTTCCGCAGTGGAACATAGGGCTTCAAGCAAGAGGCTTCAAGTTTCTGTAGCAGTGTTTATTTTTACAGGATGGGACTGGTAGCTTCATGTCCAACCTTTTCCTCTTAACCAGCATTATTTCTGGCTCGGCGAGGTAAAGTAGTGCGCCGGGCAGGGATCGAACCTCGGACCACGTGCATGGTCGGTGAGCGTCCTAACCGTTACACCACCGACGCAAAGCCGGCAACACTCGGTTAGTACTAAGCGTTCCTGAAAAGCTTCGCGGGACAGCGAGAGACCGGGGGTAGCAAGATCTGGCCATTAACCTTTTTAACATGTTAGTCACCTGAAATATGTTTACGTTCCTGTTCACGAGGATGCTTAAGTAATTCAAGCGTGACATATTTATATTTTTTTGGGTGCACTGAATTGAGTTTACATTATTTTGAAAAAATGGAGTGTTGCAAGTTTTCGGGAGACAGATTATAATTTCTTCTGAAATTTCAAGATCAATTTTTGCTTGTATTTATGGATTATACTGACAACACAATCCATAAGTGCAGAACTTTTGACCATTCTAACGTTGTTTCACCTCTTTTCATACAGACACAAGGCCTTTTCCGTTGTACATTCACTTGAGACTGGTTAGCCATTTTGGAAGTTACGAGTGACTACGATCCCAATGAAATTCCTGGGTTGTGGTTATACGTACAATATTTTCTCCTGCGGTGTTCCTCACCGACGTAGTCTGATATTCTATCTTTCTTGCGAATTGACTGCGAAAAACTGTGGCAGTAATGAGCTTCGTTAACGAAGCCTTACATAGAATATGATCGGAGGTAATCTGTGCGGGTGGAAGCAGCACAGGTGCAAGGAGCTGAGAAAGCATTGGAACATTTCCAAAAAGGGACCTTATAAAACGCGAACACTGACAACTTTTTGTATATGATACATTCACAAGCAGGGAAAAATTTGGCGAATGAGATGTTAATAAAGAGTTAGGAAGTGAGAAATTAGAGATAGAGCGTTTTAGTAAGGCAACTTTGTGGAAATTTTATCTAGCGCGTATGTTTCTTTCCAATATTTTTCTTCCTCAGACCACTTACGCAGTATGGTTAAATGTATCATTGTAGTGGTAATCGATAGCATACTTACTATCAGTTAACGATTTTATGTATGCGTAATTTCCATGATATTTTCTGCACCATTAATGTACTCCGCATTTCAAAAGAAGTTTAAAATGTGATAATTGAATTTATTGAATACTTCAGTCGTATATGCTCGTGCACATTATTCATGTTAATGCTTGATTCATGTTGATGAATTTTACCTTTATCAATTTTGGGGATGTTGAGTCGTAAGGAGGTTTCTCAGTTAGTCAAATTCAGCGGGATCCAGGTTAAGTCGCATTCAGAAGAAGATATCTGAAATCTACCAACGAGAATTTTACTTATCACGAGATAGGTTAGCGTAACCAGTTGTAGGAATTGATTCGGCATGCAACAAGGGAAGCTAAGTTGACTCATTCACTCATAGCCATACGGATAATCCTTGTTACTAAACGTAGGTGTAATTCTGTACGAACGCTACTGATTAATACAAGGGATGAATTATGAGGGCTGTAGTCAAGCCCAAATATCTGCATCGGTGGCACAGTGGTTAGAACTCTCGCCGACCATGCACATGGTTCGAGGTTCGACTCCCTGCCGACGCACACCTGATATCTATGGTTGGCCTGCAAAATTTGGGCTACTGATATCCATGCTGAAAATACCATACTTGTATCAAAAATACAGTGTGGAATCAAGCTGTAATCAAAAATAATAAAAAATAATAATAAATAATATGTGATTGCGTCCCCTATCCATAGGTGAATCTGTAGTGACCAACGATAGGAAGCCTAACCTGTGTGTTTGAAATGTATGAATAGATCTTAGTCACTGCGATAGAGTCTGATTTTGTAAAAGATTAAGTGTATTCAAAAGTAGCACCGTACTATTACCTCAGTTAGGGCGTGATATCACTCAATATGATCGTAGGTGTTAACGTATCATGCAAAATGAAGCCTACATGAGATAAAAATTTGGGTAGATGGAGCTGTAGCAATCGTAGCAATATTTCACTTACCTTAAATTGTGTCACCAGTTACTTTCTCAGGTCCCACTGATAAGTCAAGCCTCCATTTAGTCATTTATTTAAAAATAGTAGCGAACAGATAAGTATGCACAGTTGTTTGTCGAAGATATTTCGGAGACGCTGAACTGCTGTGATTAGGTTGGCTGACGTCAACAGACTTTTGCAAATAAGTGAGTAAGTCGCATTTTTGAATCCATTGCAGTTAGAAGAGAGTAATATGGAAGTTAGACACTTTATACTTGCCTAGGTTTTCTGACGAAAGTTTATTCTCCTTTGTCATTCTGTGGCTACGACAGCATTATTCTTTCATTTTCATTATCACATACATTGTTCCTCTCGTCAAGTTTAGCACTAAGCAAATCCGGAATTAATGTTTCGGCATCATTCTGAACTTTGAAAGATGAATCACACATCTAAAATATGGTAATTAAGCAGACTGGAGTAACACCTTTCCAGAGTATTTATTTTGACGAAGTTTCTTATCAACGATTTGCGGTATTCCCATTTATTTGATGGGAACCTGAACATCACAAATTCTCTCTAGATAAGGCATCTGAAAATAAGCGGTTAAAAATATGGGTCATGAAAGCAGCTTCCATATCAATCATAGTCACAGATAATTCCTGAAGGAGCCTGGAAAACCCTAGTGATCTGAAAATGAATGATTATTAGGACTAATATATCTTACGTAACAAGTGTACTAGTGGTAGGATGCAGATGCAAGTTACTTTTCGACAGAAAGGTAATGCTAATTGTATTGTGTATTCGCAATACCTTCAGAAAGACCCTCCGTAGTATTATTCTCGTCTCAGTGCCCACTGATATCGAGATAAGCCGATGCCATTTGATTAAGTAAGCAGCCAATGTCTTCCAAAATTCCATGTGACAATGTGAATTCCACTAGTACCTCACTTTGGCTGAACAGTCTCAGGTATGTACTGCATCAAAATGGACATGACCAACGGAAAATTCAGCCGCCTCTCTCATTCATTAAATGATTTTTTATGCATCATGAAAGACTCCATCCATCACGGATGGAAATCACAAAACTTAGTCTCCTCAGAACAGATATCTAACTTATGTCTGTGCGCTTATTCTCCATTAAAAGCCTGAATCTTATAGGATAACTGTTATGACATTACCCATTGCCTGTAGTCAATTTAAGATCTGAAAATCTAAAATCGCTCGCAAACATCAAGCCTGCAAGGTTCCCTAACAGTAGTAAGTCATTTATAATTATAATTTCTTTAAAATTATTACTTTCATCGACATAATTTGCCTAGGATATCGAGACAATTTTGTACATTACTACGAGCATAGTGCAAGATAACATCGCTTTTTGACTACAGGAGCCTAAAACTAATTAGTTACACCCAGTTTTCACAACAGTAGATGCGTATAACGCCTATGTAGGGATGAGCTGAATAACCCACACTATGCAAAAAAATACACCGCAACAGGAATTATCCTCACTCCCATCTCGAATCACATAAACTACGCAAATGCTGGAAAGATAAAGCATGTGGCACCACCTCGAAAACGGGATATACCATATAATCGCTCAAACAAAAACCATCTTCATTGGGCATATTACGGTGAACATATATAATTGTATTGGATAGGTCAGATAGGCCACCTTTTGTGCAATTTAGAAGGTATATATGTATGTGCCAAAAAATCAATCTCATAATATTCTTGTATGAATCAATAATAATTCTCGAAGTCGTTGCCTGGCAGGCTGCAAAGTTTACAGTGTTTCCACATGTTTGTAAGAGCCTAATTTTATACAGGTTGTGAACACTGCTCCTGATGTTTACGGATCTACATACGCAAAGCGTTTCTATATGTCAGCAATCTACGTGCACCAATTTTTATGGCAGTCAAACCTGAGAGTACCTTCTCTGCAGTCCCACTCTCACAGCTGGATAGCATATTTTCACAGTCGATTGCTACTGATAAAATGTCTAACAATGTCACAGACGATAGCACTGATTACAAATTGGTGCTATGTAACAAACTTTAGCTGTCCCTATAGATTACTACGTTTACATAGAAATGTGGCAATATTTATGCGTTCTATAGCCTTATATAGCCCAAATACAAGGAACTTTGGCTTTATATTTTTGGGATTGATGTTCAAGGTTTACCTACTTGCTATCGGAAAGAAATTTCGCGCGCGTTTCCTATCTCTGCGGTTCATGTTAGGTCATTGGTTTTCTTTGACTATCTGTTTCTGAATACCTGGATAAGGAAAGAATCCCCACTTTATAGTTGCTAAAATGTACCATCAGAACTTACCCGTTTCAACTGTCAAATAATGGAACCTGGATCAAACGATTTCTGTAGTGGGAATGTTAATGCAAACTTACGCAATCCTTCGTACCGCATTTCTGCTGGGATTCCTGTACTAGATGATTCGTCCAGTGGATATAGAGATAATATTGGCCAAGAGAAGCCGGGTAATTTTATGTGTCTAAGTCGCCCACAAGCAGAGTATATGCATGGTCATACATACTCTCAGAATAGTAGCAAAGAGAATGACAGTCACTTTCTAAGTGGTTTTAATGAGCTTTCTCAGAGTTGTTCGCGAAAGCATTCACTCTCCGGTGTCGTACGCACTAGGAGACGAAAGGCTGGAATAAGTGAAGAAGAACGAGTCTGTATCGTGTGTGGTGAACCGGCATCTGGTTATAATTTCGATCGGCTTACATGCGAGAGTTGTAAAGCATTCTTCCGTCGAAATGCACTGAAACCTCGCGATAAAGTAAGTCTCCTGTGTCCGGATATGGTGAATATTTTGGATATGTTATTTCATAATAGTATGTTTCTGCTAAGATTTTTTCAGTCAAAAGTGTATACTTAACAGTGAAATCAATTAATATGTACTGATATGTTTACCGGGATAGTTAATCATGTAAATTTAAGAGGTTAATGTTTTATACCTTAAGTAACCTATGATATAACGTAATCCAGATGTACTGATTGAGCATAAAGGGTTTGGAGCTGATATCAATCCTCTTCTAATAAATTTATGTGTTTGTCCAACCCCTCCTTGAATGGATCAATTCACGTTGCAGACACAACTTCTTATTTATTTATTTTTTATTTTATTTTATTTTGATTTACAGCTTGATTCCACACTGTATTTTTTTGGTACAAGTATGGAATTTTCAGCATGGATATCGGTAGCTTCAGGAGTTTATAAATGAGTGCGAGAACCAGCACTTCTCAGCAGTATGGCTTCTCCTTGGCTAGTGAACTCTCCTGCTATGTACTCTAAGGTGTTCCCACTTGGTGGTAGGGAAAAGATGCCCGTAGTCATTATTTAAAATTTTAAACATTGTAATTAAATAGTGAGATTTGTTATACGAGTTTGCAAGGGAGTGATTATTCGTTTGAAGGCACTTAAAATTGTCGTGCAAACAAGTTACTGTCTTCTCAAGCCCATGTTGTTATCACTTAACCTGTCTGTCTGTTTTCGACATAGAACTTTGCACAAATGTGCGCCAGTTCAAGTCGCCACACTCCGTGTAGCACGCGAAGCAAGAGAAGAAAGTACAAGAAAAGCATAATAGAAACAGTGAGCAGAGGTGTGAGACAAAGGAGTAATAAAGAAAAACAAAACAGTTTCATTGGAGATCATAAGTCACAAGGAGTGGATGCATCTGCGCCACTGAGAACGATTTTGAGCCATGTCACCAATTGTTTCCAACCATAGATTTTTACCGTCCCGAGGACCCCAGCCTGGAAGTCTACACCTTCCTACGTGGCTTAGACCAACTGTTGTGGATTTCATTGACTGGTGCCAAGTTTTTGTTTGACCGCCGCTAGCTTTTTTCCAGCCTGACCCTATATCCGCTAACATTGCTCGTCGAGGGAGGCGATGACTTGGCATACGTAACACATGTCCTAACCATCTCAGTCTTTGTAACTTCACGACTTCGTCGATTGATTTCCCCTGTTTACCTAGAACTCGACGCCTAACCTCAATGTTGCTCACCTTATTATGCCACTTTACACGGGAAATAGAACGCAGGCACCTATGATCAAAGACAGCTAGTCTTTTCATGTCTTCCACTCTCAGTGGCCAGGTCTCACAGCCATAAAGGAGGACGGAGCGGACTGATGAGCAGTACACCCGCCCTTTGGTCGATAGTCGAACATCTCGTCTACGCCAGAGTCGGCGTAAACTGGCAAATGCGAAACGAGCCCCCTGTATTCGTGCTGAGATTTCGTCAGAGATCAACCCGTTGGACTGGCTGATGGTACTTCCCAAATAAGTGAAGCGGTCAACGTGCTCTACCACTTCACTTCCTATTTTTAAACTAGGCGTCGATGTAGTCCAGTCCTGTAACATCATCTTGCATTTGGCGGGAGCGAATCGCATGCCAAACATTCGTAGATTGCGGCTCAAGGTGTTTAGAAGACTCTGCATTTTGTCAGCGTCTTCGCCTAGAAGGACTATATCGTCTGCATATTCCAAGTCAACGAGATTATTCCCTGGTAGCAAGTCAATCCCTGAGTCGCTGAAGTCACTTAGGGTTAAGTCCATTAACACATCTATGATGAAGTTGAATAGAAAAGGGGATAATGGGCATCCTTGACGGACACCACTGGTCGTCATCAGTTCAGATGACAGCTCGCCGTAAGCCCTCACCTGGCTGTATGAGTACGAGTAGAGTGCCTTAATCAGTGCAATATATTTTCTCGGAATTCCCTTTACAGCCAAGCATCTCCAGAGAACTTCTCGATCGACAGAGTCGAATGCTGCCTTTAGGTCAAGAAATATAATGACTGTTGGACGCCGGTAGGAATGCCTATGTTCTAGAATCTGTCGGAGGGTGAAGATATGATCAATACACCCTCTTCCTGGTCTAAAGCCTGCCTGGCTCTCTCGTGTTTGTTCCTCCCGAGCACCACTCAGTCTACGCATGATTATTGAGCCTAAGACTTTAGATACTATATTAGTCAAGCTAATCCCTCTGTGATTATCACAGGAAGACTTGTCTCCCTTCTTGTATATGGGGATAATCAGTGACTTACACCAACCCGATGGGACTTCTTCTGATTCCCAGACGCTGCCTAGTACCTCAGTTAATGCAGACAGTAAGCTGTCTCCACCGTACTTAAATACCTCTGGAGTCATTCCATCAGGTCCCGCTGCTTTGCCTAGTTTCAGATTGGTGACAGCTTTAGTAACCTCAGTTAAGGAAGGAGGACCTGTGTCTATATCCCATTCAGGGAGGTGTTGGATGTTCGGAAGGTTGAGCGTGGCTGTAGGCCAATTAAACTGCTCCTCATAATGCTCTTTCCAACGATCCAGTCGTCTATCCTGGGAGCTAATTATAGTGCCATTTTTTTCCGAGATTGTTTCACTAATGATTTGTCTTCTCCCTGATGAGTCTAAATAGTTGCCTGGTGTTGCCTATCCTCAAAGCTTTCTCCATCTCTTTGGCTTTTGTCACCCACCACTGTTCACGGTCCTTGCGGAGACTTTTCGTAAGTTTCCTCTTGTGCAGCTTTCGCTCCTCATTGAATTCGGAGCTCGCCGGAATAAGTCTTCTAGCATCTATCAGTTCGGATGAGGCGGTGGAGATCCAGTGGTTTTTACTCACCTTTGGGTTTACCTTATTCACAGCTTTTACAGCTGTATCTATGGCTGCCTGGATATTTTTCCAAGCTTCTTCAGGGTGAGCACAGCTGTCGAACACAGATATGTGTTTAGCTAGTTCTTCCTCAAATACGGATTTAGTTTCCTGATCGAGCTGGGGACGTGATGGTTTTACCGCCAGCTGTTTCCTACGTCCGTTCAGTCGTAAGCACACCCGAGCGCGGACCAGTGCATGGTCGGTATCTACACACGTGTTCCAGAAGGAGCGACAATCTCCTACCGACCCACGCCAACGATAGCTTATTGCTATGTGGTCTATTTGTGTCCAGCGTTGGTTTGATGAAGGGGGTCTCCAAGTCAAACAGTGTCTCTCCTTGTGTTTGAAGTTAGTGCTTACAAGAAACAAATGATTATCAGAGCAGAACTGTAGGAGACGGTCACCGTTGTCGGTTCGCTGGCACGGAACTCCATAGGTGCCACCGACATCCTTCTCAGATTGACACAATTTCCCTACTTGAGCGTTAAAGTCACCAGCTAGAACGACTATGTCTGAGCGTTTAGCCTTTCTCACCAAACTAGACAGCTTTTGGTAGAACTCATCCTTCGTTTCATCTGAACTGCAGTCAGTGGGGGCGTAGGCGGAGATTACGAAAAGGCATCGGCGAGTAGTGCAGTCCTTTCTCCTTTTTACTGATCCGTTCAGACGGACAGCACACATTCGGCTATCTACCGGGATCCAGTCAAGCAATGTCTTTTCTGCCCTAGTACTCAAAGCTATCCCTACACCAGCTAATCCTCGTGAACTAGCTGTGGCATCTCCTGACACCCTCAAGGTGAATTTTGCAGATTCAACCTGTTGGCCAGGTGGGGTTAGGTGAATAACCACACTTGGGTCTTGTATGCGTGTTTCTGAAACACAGCATACATCAATGGCTCGTGATGCCAGGGTCTTGGCTAGTGATGCTTGTTGTCCTATTTGGCAAAGTGTCCTAACATTAAAAGCTCCTATATGAAATTGGTGGCGCGGCTTTAAGAGGCTGTCGGTGGTGGTTTTTTGGCTTCCATCGTTTTTAGTGGACGCAGAGTGGAGAGGAAGTGGAGAGCTATCAAGTCGAGGAGTTGCATCAGTGGAAGGAAGGCAAGATGATAGAGATGAAGATGAAGACAAAGATGAGTGAGTAATAGAGAGGTTTCGCGTGCGTTTCGGATTGTGAGGGCGATTGTTACTTCCCGGCTGCCCACACCGTGGAAGTTGGTTGCGTGACCGCAGAGCCCAGGGGACAACTGCTTGAGGCCGGTCACACGCGGCCTGTTTTTGTTTGGTGTTTGGTGTGCCTCAGTAGCATACTTATCACTCCTGCCCTGTGACACGGCAGCAGGAAGCGCGGTCGTTGTTAATCCGGGCCACGGCCGATCCGGCATGAAATTTTGTGATTTTGTATTGATCATGATGTTGGATTGGGTAGCTGCTTTTTGTTTAACCGCTATCCAAACAACCTTTCTGGCATGGTAGGACCTCAAGAGACATAAGTCTCAGCCAGTATAGCTTGAATAGATCATTGCGGTGTTCAAGCCCGACCACCACGTCAAGGTAGCAGCTTTCACTTAACCTACTCAGTTCAGCAGAATTAGTCATCAACATGCACTCTAGGGTAGATAAAACTGAAACACCAACTTTGGTTAACAGCGTTGCTGTTATTTCACTAGATTAGACGTGTAATCTCTGCTCTATGATGCTATTTCCAATGTAGTGGTTCATTTCCTTTTGGTTAATATTTACTACACCTTCTGATACACAGTTTCTCACAAGTTGATTTTAAAAGGTTTATTTAGTATATTTCTGCATGTATTTTGAACTGCTTGTAAAAACTAGAGTTGATTAAATCAGTCATTTGTTGATTGAAACTAAAATTTATCGTCTTGTTATTTCCGTCGGTTTGACTTTTATTGGTATAAGTATAAAACTTGGGTACTGTGGTAGAGTATAACTCCATTATGGATAAGATTTTATTTTGATAAATCACACTGTTGTACAGTTATATTAACTGACTTTTTAGCTTGGAGCTTCTGTAAGTAATAGCAGCCCAGGGAATTTTGAGATATCGACCTATAAGTATGCCCTACCAATGCCTCCTTATAATACGACCACTATTGCCACTGTGATGCACATTTCCTCGTCTTTTTGATTAAGTATCTAAAAAGTTTTTCTGGTCCGAAAATATATCAGACTTCCCTCTTATGTGATTAACACGGTATAGGCTAAACGTACTTCCGTTTTCAAGTTCGATTTCTTTAAATTTACCTGGTTAGTCTCTTCACAGTATGGATTTAAATGAGTAGGTTAATTGTTAAAGCTTAAAATATCGCTTGCTCTCTATCACCTCTTTGGGATAGTTTCAGGCGTGAAGCGGCTGTTCTGACTGACTATCAATGCAGCACTTTGCACAAAAAGAGGAACATTTTAAATTTCTGCATCACCTACAATACACAAATGTAGAAAATCTATGCACTGAGTTTTAGTCAAGAAAAGTTAATCGGCCGATGAAGTGACTATAAATTT